GGCGGTGGCGGTCGCAAAAGCTCCACATTCCAATGAAATTTGGAGCTTTTTGGTGGCGGTGGCGGTGGCGGTCGCAAAAGCTCCAAATTTCAGTAAAGTTTGGAGCTTTTTAGTGCCGGCTCCAAAAGCTCCAAATTTTCAATGAAATTTGGAGCTTTTTGGTGGGGCTGTTTAGCCGTAAGAGAAAGCGAGCTCGGAAGGCGCAACTGAAAAGCAATCTTGGCATCTTAGCCACAGCACTCTGTGGCCTAATGGATAAGAATGGCTATCATTTGCGAACGTCCTGAATTCTCGGTCTTGCCTTCGTGGTGTTTTTTTGGCGACAAAGCGATCCAAGCACGACCAAAAATCTTGGTGCCGGTGGTGGCAGGCGCAAAAGTTCAAAATTTCGATGAAATTTGGAGCTTTTTGGTGGCGGTTGCAAACGCAAACGCTCCAAATTTCGATGAAATTTGGAGCTTTTAGGTCCCGGTCACAAAAGCTCCATATTTCGATGAAATTTGGAGCTTTTTGCCGGTAGGGTCCTTGTTTATTGTAGTAGGGCCAGGAGACCCTAGTACGGTTCTTGTCACTAGTAGTAGGGCCAGGAGCCCCTAGTAGCGTCCTTGTTACAGTAGTTAGGTCAGGAGCCCCTAGTAGCGTCCTTGTTATAGTAGTAGGCCAGGAGCCCCCAGAAGCGTCCTTGTTACTGGTTAAGCATCGACCATCGTCATAGCGTCGGAACCATCGGCTTGGGAGGGCACACACACACTATCAGTCATCCCACAGCCGGTTCGAGAGCGATTCGATTCCTTCGTTTTCGATTCCTTAAATCCCATTTCGATTCACGTTTCGGTGGCGATTCAGCAGCGGTTCGGTTCCTTGTTGGTAGCGTTTCCGATTCCTGATTCGATTCGGAACATTCCTGACAATGTATGTACTATATACTTTTCAAGAGATGAAAGCAAGGTTGAACTCCAAATCTGCAGAAACTATATAATAACAATTTCTTGCTTCTACCACAAGAGGTGCACTATCTGGGTTTAAAGTACTTTTTGTCTAAGTTTTTTGTTTAAGTTGAATACAGCCATCAAACACATGTCTAACATCTTCTGGTGCAAGTATCTGAAAATCGTTAAACTTCATGCAAATAACTGACATAGTTACAACTACTTATTGTAACTTATTGAAATACAAGTTAGCTTGTAGTTTCATAACTAGACGTATAAGTCCCCACACTAAAACAGCCCATACAGGAGGTTAGGGTATATGGGGCATGCAAAGTAGAATATTGAAAGATCATTGAAGCGCAGAATTGTTCAAGGGTTGCGCTAAAAAGGCCGTAAAAAGGGACCAATGCAAGACCAAAAAAGCTCAACAAGTGTGTTCTTTAAAAAGGAGATGTTTACATGCGCTTGGTGTCAATCTTATAATATAGCTCCCTTCCTTAGCTTCGGGTGTTTGGCAAGGATTTGCTGGATGCATTGGCCCGTTTTTAGTCATTGTCCTATTGATCCCACCGGCACTCTGCTAGGATGCCGGTGGTCAACAAGCGGCCGGAATGGCCGGCTACCAGCAAATCTTGGCCTGGCACAGTGCGCGCATGTAGCGGGTGGTGGAATCTCTATCCTGCAGTTGCAATTCTCCATTGCCATTCACAGGAAAACTAAAGCCCAAGTTCACACTCACGTGGCCATTGTGTGACCCGAGAATAGAGTGGTCAACCTTTGTCAGGCCAAGACGTGCCAGGGTGGTGTACCTTGGCACAGTCGTGCGGGTCCTCGAGACCCGCACACTGGGCCTGCCACGACGCCAGGAGCCCCAGCTCAATGGCTCAGAAACACAGAGCCTGATTCGTTGATAGATGTTTCTCAGGTTAGATTTTAGAAGAGGATCCCGCCTCCCTGTCCCCAATACTACATGCGCCGATCCCGTTTTGCCGAACGCCAGCCTACAGTGGACACCAGCAGCAGCAGTAGCAGCGACGGCAGCAGCAGCAGCGGCAGCAGCGACAGCTGCGGCGCCGCCTCCGATGCGGACGCACCTTGTCACCCGCAAGCGAGGCGTCGGAGTCCTCAGGCGAACAGGGTGAAAGCTAAAGCGCCAATCACTTGCCAGGCTGGCTGCATTGTTCAGAGCTGCTGAGAGGGCGGAGGCATACAAGGCCAAAGCAGAGGCGCAGAAAAACTGTATTTTCAACCGAAATTTCTGCGGACAGCAAACAGGCACGCCGGGAGCGTAAGCGACAGTGGCATCGCCCAGCGACAGGACAAGGCACCCTGGATCCCATTCGGAGCGCGGAGCGCGTGATTGTCACCTTGCACGCCTTCGAGTTTGGCATCACGCGCGCCCAAGACGTACGTCGCCTTGCCTGCGAGCAACTGGCTTGGCGGCGCGAGCGCTATGAGGACAGAAGCTCCAAACCTCTACGAGCCCGCCCACGTCGATGGCGTCGACGCCTACCTCGGCGAGATGCGCCGCTCTGCTGCGGGTCCTCACCCAGGTGCCTGGGGAGACCACCGCGCTTTGCAGGCCATGTGGAAAAGCAAATAATGACGATCAAAAAAGGCAACCGTTTCCTGACAAGCTAGGCCTTCGTGGATTTCACGGGCCTCATGGTGACGGTCTGGGACCTGGCGCCAGTGGGGGAGCAGTTCCGCACCTCCGACATCTGGCCTTGCCATGAGCAGGTCGGGCGCAAAAGTCGAACGCGAGCGCTCAAGCATAACATCGATTGCTGCAGGTGTGTGGCTCCTTGCACCTGCTCTACTCTGGAGCCTGTGTTGCCAACCACTATGACGCCCTGGTGGAGGCGATTGCTATTCGATGCGCAAGAGTAGAGAGACGTTCTCCCATTCGCGTTTTCCATGTCGAGGCCAATGTGGGCAAGGCGGAGGCAAGGCGCGAAAAGCGCAACGCATTCTCGCATTGTCTTCCTAAAAGAAAAGCCAGGTAGCGCGGCGAGCTCCCAAGCTAGTTTACCTTGGCACAGTTGTGCGGGTCATGGAGACCCGCGCGCTCGGCCTGCCACGGCGCCAGGAGCCCAGCTTAATGGCTCAGAAACACAGATCTTGCGCTGAGCCACAGCATAAAGGAACTTGCACGCTGCTAGAGCGCAGTCCGGTATCGCAATTAAGTACCTGGTAGTTCGAGTGTAGAAGGTGCGCATCTTTGCTCAAATTCTTGCAGGTAGCAAAATACACGACGCTTAACTTATATGTTATATATTTCCTCCACGTTTACACAAAAGCCAACAAAGCAAAATGGAACAATGAAAGAAACATATTCCCTCACCCAAAGCCCGCAAAAAGAACAAAAGCAACAGGAGCACTTGTTGACGACCGGAGCAGCGTGTAGCATCAGTCAGCGCTCTGTTGGCCGGTTTGAGCCCGCGTTTTGGGGCGAAGGCAAATATGACAGGCCCACGGGGCATCGATTGATTCAATCCGGGCTGGTTTTCATGTCTGCTTGTCGCGTTTCCTTGATGCTTCCCACTGCCTTTTGCAGCGAGGGGGCTTTTGCGTGGTGGTGTGCTGCGAGTTCGGGCCACCGCAGCTGCTGCAAATGGCCCATCAAGCGACGGTCGACGATCTAAAGGCAAGATGACCGTTAGACGTTGCTGCTTGCAACCTTTTGACATTCACGCTTAAGCCCTGTGCATCGCATTGTGATCAACAAGTCGATGCAGTGTGCTTTCATGAGTGTATCTAGAGTCGTTGTTGTTGTTGTTGTTGTTGTTGTTGTTGTCTGTTGTTGTTGTGGTTGCGGTTGTTGTTGTTGTCGTCTGTTGTTGTT